GATCGAAGCAGTGCCAGTGCTGGTGCTGGTTTACACCTCCCCAGAGATGTAAAAAATGGGTGCGGGATAAGTCCCAGCATCTACAGAGGTGGTGGCTGGTTCGGGTGGGAAGAGAGACCCGTTTGGAGAGTGGTCCCCTGACTACCAGGGACCTTGTCCAGTGACCCTGGGAAGCACATTGCCTCTTCCCAGCCCCAGTTCCTCCCTGTAAAATCCAGAGAAGGATACAGATGCTTATTTGAAAAGCTCCAATGAGGAGTGTTGTATAAAGGCCAGAAATCATTACTAGGTGGTGTTGGGATGCACAGGGGAGGAGTGCACACAGAGATGGAAAAATACAGGGAGGAAACAAATTTGAGCAGCAGAAAGCAAAGCGCGGTGGTGCAGGCAGTCAGGACCTCCTGTGCTGCAGGGCCAGGCAGCTTGTCTCCCCTGGGGTCCTGAGTGCCACCAAGGAGCCTACGCAGAGACGGAGTCGTGTCCCTACGACGCTGGCTGCTGATTTGGGGGTGAAGCTGCCACATGCACTGCCACCAAGTCTGGAGCAGAGGGGCTGGAGGTGCCTGTAGCTGCCAGCCCCAGCCATGCCAGGCAGGACCAGATCCAGCCTCTCTGCAGGCTCGTGGCAGATGACGAGGTGAAGCAGGAGCCTTGGAGATCAGGAAGGAGCCACTCCTGGCTGCCCCAAGTCCTCTGTGTCCCCACAGAGTCAAGCTGTAGCAGCCTGGGACCAAAAGCTGCCCAGAATGGACCTTGAGGAGTAGAGCATCTCTGGAAGGGATGGTTTGGTGGGAGCTAGTAATGAGCCCAACATCCACCTCGCAGTCCCAGCTGCTGGTGAGGACACTGGGGTCCCCTCACCCAGGCAGACATTTGGGGCAGGGTTGGGTGGGTGGCAGTGTGGAAGTTGCTGGGTCTTTCCTAACTGCCCCCCCATTCAGATCCCAAGTGCTCAGTGAAACAACCGGTCATCCCAGTGGGGCTGAGAGATGCCTGGTCTGCCTTCACAAGGGGTGGTGGGAAGCTGTTCTGTCCCAGCTGTGTGCTGGGACAAGGGGTTTCTTCATCTCCCACCTTTGAGCTGAGGCCATGCCCAGCAGGGAGGCTGGAGGAGGAGGAGGAGGAGGAGGACATCCCACCCCCAACTGCCCCAGTCCCCTGCTCCAGTCCCAAGGTGGCAAACAAAATCTTGCTGGAGGGAATGGAGAGAGGGTTCCCCAGCACAGACCCTGTGCTCTTGGGGAACTGGAGGTGGCCTCAAGTGATGCCCTGCACCGGTCCCTGGCTTCACACTTCTGTGCTGATGGACATCTTGGGGGAGCCTGGCTGGGGCCAGGGCTGAGAGCGGGGCTGCTTTTTGGGCTGGAGGGGAGAAAAGCATGGCCAAGGCTGTTACAGCAGCTGATGCTGTACATCCCCTCCGCTGTGCCTTCCTCCTCGCCCGCACTCAGCCTCTTCCTGACATCTAGTGGGAACAGGGCAACACGGCAAAGGGATCTGGTGCCAGCTCCAGACTCCTGGACACACAGACACAAACTAGCTGCCCAGTTGGGTACAAGACCCGGGATGCTGGAGCCACCAAAGAGCCTGGGACTGGATGAGAAAGTCCCCTCCAAAAAATAAGGAGGGCTGGCATCTCTCAATAGGTCCCCATGGGAAATGTGTCCACCAGCCAGTCTGAGCCCAGACCAGGCTTTCTGTAACCCTTTTCTATAAATGACAGGGGCTTCTTTCCTCCTCCCGCCGTGGGGCAGTGGCAGGGCGCTGGTGGCTGGGCTGCTCCCGGAGCAGACAGCTCTCCTCTCTCTGCACCCTGCGTGGAGGAGCAGGATGGGGCACTGGCCATGGCCCCTGGTGAGGCTGGAGGCAGGGGCTGGCATCGGCCACAGCACACGGCTGGGCTTCAGCAGGGCACAGCTCTTTGTGGAGAACTGCTGGGGGTGACATTCAAGGTATAATTCCTCATGGAGCTAGTTATTAATGGCCTGGCAGAGACCCTGCTCTGAGGCATGGGACCTTTTTAGGGTTAGCCACCATCTCAGACCGCTTGAGCCCTGTCCCTCTCTTCTACAGTTGTTGCAGGTTCCCAGGCAGGGTGCAAAGCAGAGCTGGGCACAAGAAGTTCACGTCTTGCCATTGGTTTTGGATGGCACATTTGGGAGGTAGGTAATAGAGGTGAGGTGGGAGCGAGAGACAGCTAAGTCCTGTCCCAGCAACACATCCCTGCGCTCGGGGCTGAAGATCATCCCCTCTCCATCCAGGGCCACCCTCTCCTTTTAGAGCCCCTGCGTGTCTCCCTGCATCGTTACTCAACCCTAATGTCAGCTCCCAAAAGTAAACCTCTTCCCAGCTCACAGCCCTCTGCCCACAGGGCTCTCCACAGCTTTCCTTGTTTCGAAGGACAGCCTCCCGGGTCATCCCACACTGGTCAGCATCTCTACCAGACCGGTCTCCCAGTTCCATCCTTCCCCAAAGCCTTTAGCTGCAATGACAGGCAGGAGCTAGTCCTTCCTGCCTTGTTTCACATGCTCACTTTCTGTGAGCAAAACCACCTTTTTTTTTTTTCTTGTTGCCACCTAACTTTGTTGGACTGTGCTCACTATGTCTATCTATCTAACTTGCTGTCTGAAGGCCAGGGTGTCACCTCTCCATGTGTCCCCAAAGCTCCCTGGTGATGCCCAAGCACTTTCATCAATAAGCAGCTAAAAGTTAAACACCAGCAACAAAATACCACCATCAAAAAAAAGGTCTTTATTTCTTTATTTCAAATTTTTCTTTCTTTATTTCAAATTTTTCTTTCTTTATTTCAAATTTTTCTTTCTTTATTTCAAATTTAATTCAAAGAGCAAAGATACTAATACAAACCCCAAAGGCACTCCAAGCAAACCGGAGTGATTTGCACGAGTCCCTTCCCAAAGCAGCCAGGCAGATGTGGCTCTGGTCCCCAACTCTCCCCCAGCGTGGACACGGTGCAGACCCACACTTCTCCCCTGCATCCCCCCATGTCTCCCCCTTGCTGCAGGGACCCGCAGTGGCCCAGGGAGCTCCCGCGCTTGGGGAACAGGCAACTCGGAGGGGGGTAGGTGAGGGGCTCGGCTGGGGGTGGCACTGGATAAGCTCACATTGACCCTGTGGAAACGAAAGGCACGGTGGAGGTGTCCCTCCATCACCTACCCCTGCCCACCCCAATCCGACACCCTGAGGATACAGCCCCTTGGGGGAGTCGTGGTGCCCCAGAGAGAGCAGCAAAGTGGGGGGAGGACATGGCTTAAAGGTAGAGGAGCAAATCCAGCTTTGAGTTGCCCTCAGCTGCCCTGCACTTACTGTGGTCCCTGGGGAGCAAGCCCTCCGCTCACCCCGACGGTCACTCGGGGGAGGCACTTTGCTGGAGAGGAGGGACCGAGACCTCTCTCCTGGAGAGAGCAGGACGGGGAAAGGCAGTGGTCCTGGGCAGGGACCCCTCTGGAGCTGTGTCCAGACCCTCCTGCCCTGGGCTCAGCCCAGCAATACATGCAGTAAGGAGCACTGTAGCCCCAACTTGATTTTCTCTCCCACACATACATCCAACAGCCCACTGAGCCCCCAGATGGGGTGTGAAACCTTTGGAAAAAAACAGGGATAAAATTCTCAAAGCAATGTTAATCCAACAACTCACTAAGTGGGTATTCACTCCTAAAATTCAACCCAAAGCCACTGAAACTATGGATGATCCCAAACCTTCAGGATTTCCACGGTGGAAAGCCTAGGCTGCCCAGGGGGATGCTCTGTTCCCCGTGTTTAGAGACAAGCAGCAGCCAGGCACCCGCAGACAGGCACCTGCTCCCCTGACATGGAGCTCACAGCCTTGGTCACTGGTCCTGCCCCCTCCCTGGCTCTCCGGAGGTTCAGCTCCCTTTGACATCACTCTGTGCTCTTTCAGGGGATCCTGAACAGTTCTGGGTCCCAAGTGCAAGGATCTGGCCTCAGTTCAGATCCTGATTTTCTCCTGAGGAGGCAGAAAGTTCACAAGAATCACTGAACATAGGAAAATTGCACTATTCAAGGAGCAGAAAGTCCCGCAAAGCCAATTCCAGGCTTTATGTCCCTGGCGCCATCGGCTCCTTCCAGCCCCCAGGTCCGACCCCGCAACCTGAACCCAGCCAGGCTTGGGAACAGCAGCTTTTGGGTGGGGGGAAAAGCACCAACGCTGCCAAATCCCCCCCCCCCCTTTCCCACAGCACTTCCCAGCAGCGGAGCTGGCAGTCGGGAAGTGGCCAGCAGCCTCCAGCACGGCTCCGGCCCGGGGAGGCAGCCGGCGAGCTCGGCACAGCAAACACGGCAGAACATGGAGCAGAGCAGTGGGAAGGGGACATCCTGACCTGGACGTGTTCAGCGAGCAGCATCTCCTCGCTGTGTGGCCATGGAGGTGGTTATGAGCAGCACTGCGGGCTTTGGATTGTTTAATTTAACTTTTCTTCTTGTTTGAATAGAAATGAAGCCAAACTGGTAAGCGGAGGCAGAGCCATCAGCTCCTGAGGCTGGGGGAAACCGCTGGGACCTCTCTGCCTCCCAGCGCCACCTCTCCCAAGCCTGAAAATCTGCTGCACAGAGCAGGACCATCTACCAAAAACCCTACGGTTGTCCTTCAAAAAGGGAAGAGGTGATCCTGGCACTCGGTCCTCTGCCCAAAGGAGAGTCCTCCTTAGCACTGAAGCAGCTCAGCAAGTGACTTTGCTTCCCGAGACACAACCCAGCTTTCCATCCCGGTCCGATGGCACGGCACGGCCGTATCACCGAGCAGCTCCCGGAGGTGGTGTGGACGGTGCAGTGTCGCTGCCGGTGCGGCACCGGCCCCACCGTGCCGGTCAGAGGGTGCCCAGCTCATCGCTGAGGTCGCTTTCGGGAAGTAGAGGCGGGGGGGGGGGGCTCAAACCACACACAAACCCATGAAGCAACACATAAGAGAAACCCAAAGGGGTGAAGGTCTCCCCTGCAGAGAGTGCAGGGGCCGGGGGGGGTGCTCAGACGCGGCCCCGGGGGCTGCGTTCGGGCAGGGGGTGCCTGGCGGGGGGCTGCTGCAGCAGGGCGGCGAGGATGCGCTGCAGCTGCGTGAGGCGGGCACGCAGCGAGGTGGTGGAGAAGAGGTTCAGCTGGTAGGACGGGTCAAGGGGCAGGATGGAGATGAGCCACCAGCACCACGTCGGGCCGTCTGCCGAAGCCTGGAGGGGAGAGAAGGAGAGATTTCTCCGTGTCGGGAACTGCAAGGTGAACGCGTCGGCCTTTGGGCGGCATCGCTGATGGGAAGGAGTTGCTCTTGTCAGGATAGCAATGCCAGCTTTGGCTGAGGTATTCCTCTGAATGGCCCTGTTGTCTGTCCAGGCTCAAAATTGCTGGATAAACTAATTTAATTTCCAGACAAGCATTCCCCAGGGAGTCTCCAGACACAGATGTAACCGGGAAAAAGTCTATGCTAAAGAGACAAAGAAATATCTTGTGCGTTTCCTTGTTTAAGGCAATGCTTTTTGTAAGCGCAGCCAAATCCTGCATGGTCGGCGTCTTCTGGGGCATTTGCCTTCTCACCATTCAAAGAGGCGAGGTGCAGGCCAGGCAGGCACAACCGCTGGGCAGTGCTTTTGTAAACCGGCTTTTTTAAAACCTGAGCTAAAATAAGAGGCAAACGCTTGATTCAGCTGAAGGAGGACAAATTGTTTTGTAATTGTGAGCACAGTGTTGATGCAACTGCTGGCCGGGACAGCCTTAGCCTGGGACAAGCCAGCAAGAGCATATTTGTTAAGATCTAGACAGGAAACACTTTCTTAAAGGAGTGAAAACTAAATTTTGGGATTTGGGTTTTTTTCTCCAGAATCTGAATTTGTCAGAGCAATCTAATAAGCAAACTGGATCCTGCCCTCTTAGCTCCTCTCCTCTGGCCAGCTATGGCTGTCTCAAAGGAACACAATGAGCAAGGAGACCACAGAGTTGCTGAGCTGTGGGGTTTGTTTCTTTGCCCATTTGTTGGTTTGTTTTTTCTTTGCCCAAGTGTTTTCAAATGCAGACGGTTCAGTTTCTTGGTTCTCATTTAGGAAAGGACTCCAGGAAAGCTTTTAAAACTCAGTGCTCAGTTTCCAACAACAGTTTAAAACCATAAAGAAACATTAAACAGTTTTAACAAGCAAGCCCTGCCATCTCTCTGAGTGAGAGATGCTGTAGCTGGTAACGGGAGTGAAAACCAGGGTTTGTTTGCTCATCTTGGGGGTGAGCCACCCTCCCTATTTAGAGCATCTCTTCCCTCGGGGCATTACCTGGATGTCCTCTTCCTTCTCCGGCAGCGGTCCATGCTGCATGAAAATGTGCCTGGAGGCAAGGTCTCCGTGCTCGCAGAACCGCTGAGCCAAGCGGTAGGTGCTTTCGTGCAGGCACTGCAGCTCCTGCAGCTCCTCCCCGGCCACCTGCGTGGAGGGAAGAGGAACACAGAAGGTGTCCGTGGGGAGGCTCTGTCCCACGGCAGCGGGGACTTTTGCCCCGACCCTGCCCTCACCTTCTTGTCCTCCAGGTACTCGATGTCGGCGGTGTTGTAGCCGTCCCTGTGTCCACGGCTCAGCACCCGGAACCGCCGCCTGCCGATTGTGTCCACCAAGGACCTCCCGTCCGGCAGCAGCTCGATCTGCCGGATCTCCAGCATGCAGCCGTAGTCAGCAAAACTGGAGAGAGCCAGGGAGAGAAAAGAGGGGCTGAGCTGGGATGCTGGTGGTGGGAGAGCTGCCTCTCCCGAAGGCACCACCTCCAAGGAGGAAAAGGCCCAGGAACAAGCTGGCTGGGAGTGGGCAAATTTAGAGATTCATTCAACACTGTTGAGTTATCACTTGCTGTAAGAGGGGAGGGAATAGCGAGCACCCTGTCCATACTCCCCTGGATTTGCCTTACACCAAAATGATTTGGGTCCTCATACTGCCCTGATGTCTAGTGGTCCTGAAGACACCATCCACTGCAGAGACATCCTCCCAAAGCCCAGAAAATGTTATTTATCTTATTTCACTTGAACAGGACTGGAGCACAGGGAGGATATGTCATGTAAATACAGGTATTTAACAAAGTACTTGGGCTAGGAGCCTGGAGACTGAGCCCACCCGAGATCTGGAAGTGCCACCAGGAATATAAAGATGGCCACACTGCACCAAACAAAAGCCCATTTAGCCCAGTATCCTCTGCAGCTTGTTAAGGACAGAGTTTGAGAAATACAGCGATTTTAAAGTGCTCACTAAGAGGAGCTGAAGGACATGGCCAGGGAACCATGCAGCTCAGAGACATCCTGAGCCAGAAGCTGTTCCCAGACCATCGTATTTAACTGCCACTGCTGGCTCTGCCCAGCTCCAGCGCTGGCCCCGTTCCCTGCCTGGCTGGTGGCAATGCCAGGAGGCAGCAAGATCCCGTTTCACTCTGCTGTGTGGAGAACGCATCACCTCCCTGCTGATTTTATCTGCGGGGTGCGGTGGGATAGGAAATTGCACCTGGTTCCTCCTCTCCAAACTACTTGGGATTTTAGACATTTGGGGCTGGGGCAGAGAGGGGCAAATCAGCCGGGGCAGAGGGAAGCCACCTTGCCCAGGAGCTTACCTTTTCCCATTCTCATATATACACATGCCAAACCTCCTCGTGCCGGTCTCCTGGCACCGCCGGATCATGAGGCGGTAGCGAGGCTCGAAGACGTGCAGCGGGCAGGCGATGCCTGGGAAGGACATCGTGCATACGAAGATGGGGATGTTCTTGGTCAGGCTGAGGGACAGGAGGAGAGACCACTATGAAACCTCCCAGAGCAAATCCCATCCCAAGGGCTCTGCATCAGCTTGTGCCATGACCACTTCTCAAACCAGACCTGTCCTTTACTCCAGGAAGCGATGCTCCAGTGCAGAGCAACACCAGAGCTTCCACTTGGCTCACCAAAAGCCCAAGGACAGACTCTGCCCACAAACCAGCTCCTTGAAGACATGCTCCCTCATCCCCAGGTGCCCCACGGGACACGTCTGCACCCACCCGGCATTGCTGTAACGTGGCCCTAGAAGTGGGACAGACATCACTTGAGCAGAACCAAGCCAGAGCAACAGTGTGTGGTGTGGACGGCCCCCTCGGAGCCCCTCCTGGCCCCCATGCACACACACACACACGTGCACACGCCAGAGCAGGTCCCTGCTTACTTGGAGAGCTCTGCCATCTCAGCCCGGTGCAGCTCCCGGCGCTCGGCCAGCTGTGCGGGGAAGGTGGCCAGCATGATGTCCTGCAGCAGCACGGTGGGGCTGTAGCTTCCAGCCTTCAGGTACTAAAAGAAATTACACCCAGAAGTAGGTTGGAGAAGAGCGGGGGGGGGAGCACTGAGGTCCTGCCGGGCTTGTATCATGCTCACTTTTACTGGAGCTGAGGGTAATTTTAGATCAGAGAAAGTCAGGGATAAAACCGATCAGGGGATGTTGAGCCATCTAGCAGGACGGGATGTCAGCTCCACCGAGACCTCCAGACGCAGCTCAGACCCAGGGCCCATCCAGTGCAGCGTCCTGTCTCTGACAGTGATGCAGTCCTTGTATGACAACCTAATTTCCCTGATGGTCTCATCCGAATCCCTTTTCATTAAAGATTAAATCAAATCTCCAGGCTAGCAGGTTTTCCATCCATTTCCATTTTTAAAAGCAATTAGCATTCACTCCTTTCTTTCTCTCTCTCTCTCTCCCTTGCAGTCCTGTTTACAATCTCACTAAATCGCTGTGGCATCTTGTGGAAATTAATCTTTTGGTCTTAATTATCAACTGTCTGGTCATTCCCATGTGAGTGGAGCTGACACCGCCGTGCCAGGGAGCTGCTAACGTAAGAGCATCGCACCTTCCCACCCCAGCCCTGGGCAGGCTGCTGGCAGCCGGAGCCGGTGCCCAGCTCTCCCTCGAGCTCCATCCCACAGGACACATGTCCTCACCTCTCTCAGGCTCTGTTTGCAGAGAGGGCAGTTGGGCCGATGGTCCAGGCAGCGTTCGAGGCACTCTTTGCAGAAGGTATGCCCGCACGGCGTCGTCACCGGCTCGAAGAACATCCTGCAAAGAGACCAAAGTCAATGGACCACAGAGAGCAACATGGGGGAAGGAGCACAGGTAAGCCCAGCAGAGAGAGACTTCGCAGAGCATCTGTTCGCAGGGCTGGGTGCCCTCAAAGCTGTCATTCCCCAGGCCTGGCTCAGCACCCTGCTTTGGAAACCCTGGCTGGTCTCAGCTCCACAGTGCAAGGGTCCCACAAAGCACTCAGGGTCCTGCAGAGGCCCAGGCTGGTGGGCAAAGCCGTGGGTGCAGCTTCTGGCTATCCACAGCCTTGTACCTGCATCTTCCTTGAATCACCTTGCTAAGAGCAAGAGATTTTGCTTCCAGCAGGAACAAGACATTTCCCATGTCCTCTCCTACCATTTCAAGGGAAATCTGCTGCCTTCACCAGTCTTTTGCACTGAAGACAGCGATGCTGCAGAGATGCGATGTCACGGAAAACTATTCACACTGTGTTTTCCAAGCCCTGGCAGCCCATGGCTATGAAACTCACCTTTACTAAAGCTGCATTGGCTAAGTTTTGCTCATAACTCCTGTTAATTAAATGGAAATTTCCTAACTGACTTATTCCTTTAATTAGAAGTCTGGGCTCAGACTTTTGGACTTGCACAATGATGTAAGATGAGAACTGTCCCAGGCCTGAGCACTGCTCCCCAGCCTTGTGGGGTCCCCAAGGACCCCATCAGTACACACAGGGCACCCCTTGGTCCTGGCAGGGCTGCGGCTCCCCAGACACCCACAGTGGTGTGTAGCCCAAAAGGCAGCGATGGGAAAGCGCCTCCTTCTCCCCTGCTCCAAGAGCAGAGCCAGCAGCAAGCACTCGGGTTGCTCACAGGAGGCTCCAGAATCAGAAATGAAATGAAGGACTCAGGAAAGTCCTGCTCAGCACCGAGCCCCGACTCCTCCTGTGCATTATGCTTCCCTTCTCTCAGAAGAGACCTAAATTCACCTCATCTGGACCAGATACAGCCTTGAGCTCTCCCTCCCCTGTGTCATTCCCCTGTGCCATGCCCAGACCTGGAAAAAGTCGCCACACAGGAGACCTTGACCATCTTGCAAGTTCAAGCGGTGCAACACCCAGCCCTCTGCCAGCAGCCACTTGCACAACTGCTTGAGGTCCTAGGACACACCAGAAATAACAGCCTGGTTTCAGCATGCCCTGTGGCAGCACCCAGCCCTTCTCCAGCCACCGACTCAGGAGACGGACACAGCCTCTACCCTGTCTCCTTTTCCACCTCCAGCAGGCACAGAGCTCGGAAATGCTCCCCTCTGGGTTTGCAATATCCCCATCACGGACGGTATTTCCCTGGGGCAACACCTTCCTGTTCCAGCCTGCAGCTACAAAGGGCAACCACCGCTTTCAGTCTCTGACCCCGCTGAACATCCCCACCTTCACACGTACGTCCCAAGCGATACAAACCTAACGATGGTGAGCCCTGAGACAGGGCGATCTGAGCTCTTACAGCCTGGCAGGGCAAAGCACGCCTCTGTCTTCCCCTCTTATCTCTCCCAAAACCTGCGTTTCAGCAGTATTGGGCACTGAGTTTGCTATTAAGATGTGAAGAAAGATCCACACCAGGAAAGAAAACCCAGCAGGTGCTAATTCTTCATCCTGAAAGCTCTGCCATCGGAGAACTTACCGTATGCAGAGGGAACACTCCAAGTCAGATATGCTCAGCAGCTCCCCGAGGCACAGCTGGGTACACTTTGCTGCTGCTGTTTCCTCTTCGTTATCTAGTGGCAAAAGAGAAGGAAAGAGAAGACGACCCCCAATTTAAATAGTGAAAATGCGACATAAACCCCTCTATTGACCCATCTGTGTTCATCCATAGCTTTTACATCAGCAGGTCTCATGGTACTTGGTAAGGAAGGTGGTATCTCCCTAATTCCTTCTGCAGGCAGGGAAACTGAGGCACTGGGAGGTGAAGTGACCTAAGAAGCTCCCAGATGGAGGTCTCTGGAGACCTGCCAGGAGTCATCATCACCGCTTTATGCAAACCCAGGTACGAGGCAGCCATCTGGCTGGACGCTGATGGCAAGTTAATGCCAATGGAGGTGCCGCTTCCCCCAACACATGGCACGCCATGCCCCTTGCAAGGGAATTTAATCTAAATCTAAACCCATCTAAACACCTGGGAACCAAAGGAAGCCTCTCCCTGACTCCACACAGGGAACAAGTGATGTCTGGCTTTACCAAGAACTTTTCACCAAGCTAGACCCAAAAGTTTGGTGTAAGTTCACCAGCTCAACACAGGAAGATCGGATCCTCCTCGCGTGCATGAGAAGCGGCGAATGTGCTGGCCAGAGCTGCCCCATCGTGTGCCCCTGGGATGTCTGGCACACAGCGCAAACACTAAGTTTTCAGCGCCAAAATGGATTTTAAACAAGCATTTTGCATGAGATGACGTTTCGGTACCTTTGATGACACTCACCTACCAACCACTGGCCCTGTCTCTCTGCTGAAGTCTGTGGTTCTCGCCGTCGCCCCGGCTCGGAAAGGGTGGCTGTCCCCTGGCCGTGCTCAGACCCAGCGTCCCCTCTGCCATCCACCGGCTCTCCCTCCTGATCCTAGGCACAGCAAAGACAAAATCAAGCCCAAAACCTCTTCTCCCTTCGAATGCACAGCCCCATCTGTCCCACCGAGCCCAATGGCACCGGGAGGCTTTCTGGTGTGTTGCTGTTTATTAACATCTTGCATCTGCGGGACAGCAGGAGCGTGGCCTTCAGACATTCCTGTTCATCTCACGGTTACATGGGTTTACTCTGTCCAGATGTACCACCTGGTACTCGGGTGTATCTGAGCCCATTTTTTCTGATTTCCCCCTCTCTCCAAACCTGCCAAATTAGTCTTTAGAAGGCAAAGAGCAAAAGATCAGCCTTCCTTAATAGCTGCTAATGGTCTGAATTGTTCTCAAATGTGGGGTTTGGATGAAAAAAAACATTAAAACTGACTTTTTTTTCTTTTTTCTGCATGTGGTGCAACTTGGGTGTTTTAAACACAATAAGAGCCTAAAATCTTACCAGAAGTATTGCAGAATAAAACTGGGAGAGGAATGGAGACAGAAAGAGCCTCCTCTGTTTCCCCAGGCCCCACAACATCAGCTCCGACAGTGTCTTTGCTCTCCCACCCTCCACTACCTGCAGCTTCTCATCCCAGCACACATGGCTACGGTACTGCACAGCCTCCCCTTATCACCTCTCCTTTCCCATCATTGCAAAACCCCAATTTGGGATTTCCCAGAGGGACATTAAGTCCCATCGCAGACTCAGATTGTTGCAGGCCCTCTTACCTGAGCTTGTGCAGAAGACGACGGGAGCGCAGGGCTCCCTCCATCAACCTGGGGACCAGTTGAGCCCCGGTGAGCATCACCCTGGCGTGCAGCAGCCGTGCGTGGCTGAGGAGCATCCTTTTGCATGAGGATCTGCAAGTAGAAAGTGGGGCTCGGGGGGTGCTGGGAGAAGGAAGCAGGGAGGTGGGTGGGCTGCCAGGCTCCCTCTTTCCCCAGAGCAGCCTCCTGTTCGCTGCAGGGCACATCGGGGTTACTTGTTTCAGCACTGGCTGAGCTCTCTGTCAAACAAATGCCTTAGCACGAAAGGAAGAAAGCAGCATGAGGCAGCAAACAAAACAGTGTATTTTAAGGGCTGGGAGCCATGTTCTCCATCACCCATAAAGAACAGGAAGGGAGTGAGATGTGGGAGGTACAAGGTCATTCCCCATTCCCCTGCCCTTTCCCTCCTGGAGGGCAAGTGTCCACTCATGGCATGAAGTCCCCTCCCTGCTGGAGGCCCCACTGGTGACAGTGATTTTGGTACACGGGTGGGTGCTGGCCTGAAATCATCTGCAGAAAAGACACCGGCTCTTCAGTGGCAGCTTTTGCCTGGCTGCTTTGCCTTGGGTAACTACTGATGCTGCCTCAAAGCCCACTTCATGCCATGTCAGCATCTAAACCCTGCAAAGCCTGAGACCTGAAGATACGGACTGAGGAAGGGGAGTTCTCTTTACGGGTGAATCTGCATCAGAGGGATGGGAAGGCTCCTGGACCAGGACATGACTTCCCTTGATCCCACTGCTGGCCAGAGCAGCACAACCGTGATAGATTAGAGTCCTTCAGAGGACAAAGGCATCTCCTTGTGTGATGCAAGGGCACAGGACCCTGCCACAGTACAGCCCACGTACCTTCTCCATCTCTCTCCGAGCAGGGTGGAAATGGGGACTGAGTGTCAGGCAGTGTTCCCACGCCAGCAGGGCTTCAGCTCTCTGTCCCATCTCCAGAAGCACCTTCCCTTTCCTGAAAAAGCCCTGCAGAGCAGAAAAACCTGTGGTGACTATGAGACAGTGACCAGCTGAGCACGTGCCCCTTCAGCTCCCATTTGAGCCTCAAGGGAATCTCCCTCCAGCCTCCTGCCTGCTCCCACCCCCGGCCAAAGCACCCAGATATGTTGCTGCTCCCGTGCTCAGACTTGTCTAAAAAAGACAGGTCCACCCGCCAGATACCCATAAAACAGGACTCTCCCAAAATGCAGCAGTTGCAAAAGCCAAGCAAACAAACCCTACAGAGACCTAGAGGAGTCAAGGGCTTCTGCCTTTGAAGCCACAAAACTATTGCAAAGGAGCACTTCACAAATCAGCAAGCGAGCTCCCAGGGCTGATTTCTCCAAGGGCAGCTCAGCCTTTGGCCAACACTTTCCCAAGCCCCCAGCTGCAATCCTGCACACCAGCACGGCTACGTGCCCTCACCGCCTGCACGCCAGCAAGGACAGATGCAGCGCCAGACTCTCCCATTAGTGCAACGCAGCGCTTGCAGCCTGCATTTGCAACTTAATGGGTCTGACAAGTGTACTGCTGAGCAGGATGAATGCAATGGCTTGGAGAATTCAAGGAAAGGGGGAAACTGCTCCCATACAGTAAGATTTGGCTCGAAGCACAGCCAGTCGATGGGGCCTCCGCTCACCTCGTGCTGTCCAGGCTCAGCCGTGCACACAGCATCCAGGTCCTCCAGTGCCTGCGCGTGCTGCCCCAGCGCCGCAAATGCCTCTGCCCGGCACAGCCGCAGGGAGCTGGAATCTGGGGCTGGAAAGAGAAATATCGTCACTCATGTGATGAGTCTGTGGTGATGCAGTGGGGCTGGACGAGGCCAGGGAGATGCCACCGTGGTGGGACAGCCTCTGCGCCGCTGCCTTGCGCTGAGCGCAGTCAGCTCAGGCGCTCCAATGATGGGAAAGGAGGTGTGATAAGGGGAGTGTAATGCACAGGAATCGCTGGCCTCGTAAGTCTCTGCAAGCAAGTTATTCCCGCTGAATATCTAGTTTTAAACTCTTGGAGGCTCTTCCCTTTGTTTTTCCCCATCTCCCCCGAACGCCCTCAGCCAAGGGGCCCCACCACTGCCTTGGGACTCAGCCATGCTGGGATCTGGGCTCTCATCCATCCTTCTGGGACGCAGCAAAACGGCTGTACTATACACGTAGTCCTTACAGGGGCTGTTGTCATGGGAGGGTCCACAATGTGATTCACCCAGCAGAGCCACAATAACACATTACCGAACAAGCCTGCAGCTACAGAGACCTGAGTTCCCAAAACACCAGGGAGCCTCCTGGACCCACCTGGCTGCCAGGGCAGAGGAGAAACCAGGGGGGTGCAAGGATCTGCCCCCAACATGTGACTCGGGGTTTCCAAGTATGAGAAAAGGCTGAGATTTCCCAAAATGGAGGAAGAGAACTGAGCATCCAGCTCCTTGTCAGCGAGATGTCACTGATGTGATCTCAGCAGTGGGGGGGACACAGCTCCCAAGCGTCACAGTGCTGGGCACCCCACACACTCCTGCCTGCTCCTAAATAACAGGCAGTGAGACCCTCTTCTCTTCTGCCTCAAGGAAACCCCATAAAGACCTTCCTTCCTACCAGCACTGCCAGCAGGGCAATTGGGGTGGGGGATGTCAGGGAGTACGAGCAAGCAGCACCTCAAAAGCCCACACTCATGGAGTAACCAGGTGTGGTAATGTTTGTGGGTTTGAACTGCAGAGATTCCCAGACCCACCCCGTTATATCACAGCGTGCCGTGGAGGTGACCTACATCCAGTGCTGTGCTGGCTTTCCAGCTAAGGCAACAGGCCTGCGTCCCCCGCAGTGCTGAGCATCACCCAATGGCTGCTGAGGGCTGGGGTCAGGGTCCCACTGCTCCCCAGCCCCTCTGGGGACACCTCCGGTGTCACGCAGGTCCCCGCTGGCTCCCGGCTCCCCGTGGGACAATGGTAGGTCCAGTACAGGTAGCACGTGTGGTGGCCCTGCAGGATGCTAGCTCTGAGGCTAACCTTGCATCATAAATTAGGCACCATTTGCAGCCACTGGTGCTGCATTTACAGCGGCAAAGCAGCGCGGGCAACATCACCTTGCTGAAGGGCCAGCAGCTCCCTCCGGGGCGAGCCAGGTCCAGGGTCCCGGCTGGCAGCCGATCAGTGATCATCAGGAGACATCATTGCTGCTGATGTCCCCCGTCCTCCCAACCCCGGCAGCCTTTCCTCCTGCCCCCGTTCAAACACGGCGCTGATGCAGCTCTGCCAGCAAACTGCAGGTCCGGACTAGCAGCCCCATGACAGCAGGGCACGGGAAGCCAGCATCTGCCCGCACCCCTGCCTGCCTCCGCTGTCACCGTGCCCAGTGCCCACCGATCTGCCCAGGCACCCGCCACATCTTATCACGGAGGAGGAAGCTTTGCCGTGGCTATTGCCTCCTTGTCCCCCTTTCCCAGCGCGGAGCACAGGGAGACCTTGCTCTCTACCTGGTGCCACCATGACCCGGAGAGCAGCAGAGCGCCCAGCCGCTCCTGTACCAAGGCTGCACTGGCCACGCTGAGCTATGCAGCAGGGCAACGTGTGAGCCCTCAGAGCTTATTTTCATTTATAGTGTTAGCCAGGACCTTAGGGCTCAAGTCAGGAAGCATGGGAACCTGCTGCTCAGTACCCCATTCCACAAGTACACGTCCAGAGACGAAATATTCCAGCCCCTAACGACAGGTAGGAATGAACAAATGGGTACAAAGTCTAGAGGCTTATTTTCCATGTGGGCAAACCCATCCAAACATTTGCACAGCCCAGCAATAAAGCAACTGATTTGGCAAAAGAAAGATGTGTAAAATGGGGCTATGAATTCTGCATTTCTCTTCTGCTGCAGCTATTTTTGATCTATGATATCATTAGACATTAGGGACGTAAGCCAGCTGGCGGCTCCGGCAGCTGATGAGTGACTGATAGCGCTCCCCAGCCTCCCGGCTCCAGGCATGTAGGGAGGCCTCCTGTGTTACGCGTAACAGTGCATTTATTTTGTTCACTTAGAAAAACAGAAGATAAAAAGTTGACAATTTATTTTCTCCCAAGCAAAGCAAGCTGTTCTGCAGGCTGGGCTGAGCAGGGCACTGCAAACTGGCCCGCAGTGCGATGTTGAACCACACCAAAAAAAAAAACATTCTCATGGGTCGAACATTTATCAGTGGTTATGTTTGAAAGCAAAGGGGAGCCCGTAAGAAGTTGTGCAGCCTGAAAACAGTCTGCAGGAGTTGGAAAACACGTCCCGAAAGCACCACCCACGTGGGCTGAGCCTGAGCCGCACCAGCAAGTGCAGGTTGACGGGAGCTGCGGCTGTGATTGTAATTTCCTCGTTGCCCTAAGCCGGACTTCCCCTGTCCTTCGGGGAATAGAGCGTGCAGGGAAAACCAAGGACAAAGCTTGCAATATTTCCTCTTTATACTCACAGAGGCTTTTTCAAAAGAGATATATAACTGTACAGCCCAATCAGACAAAAGCCTGCCGATAAGGAAAATAGTACTAGAGAACCACGCACGTGCGTTTGCGCTGAAGGACGGGCGCGCAGGGTACGAGACAGACGCCTCGGGAGGTTGCATAAAGGGACCTGCTTTCTGCTGCCAACACCAGGATCGGCCAGCCTGCTCGGCCCTTTGGTTCCAGGCATACCCCGAACCTCTGGCACTTGTCTCGCAGCGGGCGATGAATAAGTGTCTGCGCCGCGGGAGGAGAGCTGACTGCTGTCATAGAAACGCCATTGGAAAAGGGCCTCCACCGCCCCAACCCCCTGCTCCAGACGCATTGTATAACCCCTTTTATTTAAGCATTACTCTCCAAGAAATCCACTTACAGCCACACATTAAAGCAGATCAACCCCCGCCCCGGGCCCGATCCTGACCCTGCAGGCAAACGTCTCGCCAGAGCCGGTTGCAGAAGGGGACCGAGGGCTGCCCTGCACCACGGGGCTGGCACAGGACCTCGGCCAAGGCTGTGTCCTCGCCAGGCTCTGGGGGTGAGGACGTGTCTGTCCCGGACTGGAAAAGTCCCAACCACTTTACATAATGGCCAGCCCCCCGGGCAGAGCTCTTTCTCTGACCCTGAAATATCGCCGGGTGGCAAGACGCAAGAAGCCGTTTGCTGCTCTTTCCAGCCGCTTTCTAACTCCAGAAGCGTGGGGCCGATGGGACGCAAGCTGTGTGCCCTGTCCTGCCCATGGCCCTGGCAGCTGGGACATGCAGCGGGGCTTGCCCGGCCACCCGGGCAAGAGACATGGGACATGGGAGAAACACCCAGCAGCTGGATGCTCCCTTCTCATCCCCACCAGCCCTGCCTTTCCAACACTTCCAGCTTCCCAGGTCTCCCAGCTCCGGACCGTGCAGGCTCAGAGGGCACCGCGGTGCTGGGACAAAGCGACCCACGTTGGTACCCGCCTGCTCCAACAGTACAGCCTGCGCATCCTCCTCTCAGCCGTAGAGCTGGCCCCTCGCACCCAGCACCCACACGCCCCCCAACCCACCCTGCCAGCCCCTGGGGGCCGGTGATGCTTACCCAACTCGAGCCCTTTTTGGGCCATCCTCAGCGCTTCCCGCGCGTCCCCACGGCTGAGGCGGTGCCGGACGCGTGTCGCCAGCCAGGCCAGCCGGCTTTCCCGCTCCACGCATTTCTCCAGGAGGCCGCAGAGCACCACGTTGCACCTCGCCGCCCCGACGCCCAGCAGTTTCAGCCTCTCCTGGCACAGGGGGCAGCGGGAGGGCACGGCCCCCCCGAGACACGGCTTGCAGAAAGAGTGACCGCAGGACACGGTCACCGGCTCCCAAAGGAGGAGGAGGCAGGATGGGCAACGCAGCATGTCCAAGGGGACGAGGGGTTGCCGGACCGGGCTCCCCCCCCGGGGTGGGGAGGACGGGTTGGGGGGGTCGCGGCTCATGGCAGCAGTTACAGCCGAGGAGAGGGAGCTGCCCCTAGGGCCGGCGGTGCCCCTGCACCCCGGTGGCCGCCGGCTCCCCGCGCACTGTCCCGCTCCGCCCGGCTCAGCCCATCCTC